TTCTTTTTGGATTGCCAAAACAAATAATATTATGGGAATGAATTATTTTATTCCTTTTTTCTAAATTATATTTTAACTATATATATATATATGTGCCATATAGTCTTCTTTTTTTTCCTCCTCACTTAATTGATGTACATGTATATATATAATATGTAATATGTGTGTATATATATATATATATGTAAATAACTACCTTCATATATGTATAAGTTTTTTATTTCTATTTTTTTCTCTTCTCACTTGATCAATGTATATGTGTGTGTATATATATATACACATGTAAACAACTACTTTCATGTCATTATATATATATATTACTTACTATCAATATATAGCGCGCACACACACACACACATATATATATATATAGTTAAAATATAATTTTAAAAAAAGAAATAAAATAATCAATTCTCATAATGTTACTCGTTTTGCGTTTTGGCAAATCTAAAAAGAAAGAAAATAATATGAATTGTAATTATAGGAAATGAACATGAATCTATATATAGCGGCGCGCACACACGTATAGTTAGGATATAATTAAAAAAAAAAGAAATAAAATAATTCCTTTTTTTTTTTTTTTTTTTTTTTTTTTTTTGCAATTTAGAATGTTATTGATATAAAGGATAAAACTGAGGAGAAGAGAATAAAAGAGGAGAGATAAAAAAAGGTTAAAGGGTAATTTTGTCTTAAAAATTTATATTTTTAATTTTCATAGAGGTTTGAGACATCTCATAAATGAACATGTAATTTTGTAATTATAGGAATTGTGACCAATAAAAAACGTGAATGTAGAAAGACCGCACTTGCACCACTTGTATATATTTATTAGGTATCTTACTCACGCACTGAATTGATGTGCCTAACACTCAGCCTTTCAAATGGATTAGAATTAGATACTCTAAAAGAGAAGATATTTGATGAGTTGGACATACCATGTTATTGGTATGACTAACTAATAACCATGCACAATTCAATCAAAATTGGTCTCAACTACACATAAAAATTATATATAACCAACTAAAGTATAATATGTGTCACTAATTAAATTGATATTTTAGTCATGTTGATTTCTTTTTCTCGGTAATGTAAAATTAATTTGAAAAAATCATGCATCAAAATGTATGACACATTAGAGGAACAACAACAACAAACCCTACACTACATTTGCAGAAAGTTATAGTTTCGACAACAGATTGAGACCCTAATTGTAGTAGCATTTACACTTAACCGAACTGCTTGACAAGTAATTGACTCATTGGGTTAATAATGTATTACGAATACTATCACTTGACAAGTTATTGACTCATTGGGTTAATAATGTATTACGAATACTTGATAGTAAAACTTTGGTTTGATCCTGAAGCACTTCTAAATAAAAGCTTATTTATTTAGTGCAGTGGTTGTGTAGGTGACAGTAAAAAGAAGACTACATTTGTCAAACAAAGTAATGCTTATATCAAAGGGACGAAAATCAGGAGAATTTTGTGTGTAGGTTGCTTATGTATTCGTATAAGTTTATAAATTGACTTGAAAAACTAGATTTTTCCAATTTGAGGAATTTTTAGGGTGCATGTGGAATGAGAGGGCTGCATATGTCCGATGTGGAAAATTAAGTGCTTTAAGAAGCTCGACACTTAGACCTAATAGTATAATGTTGAAGCTTATAAAAGAGTGTTATCCATGGAATAATGCCAAAACTTTAATTTTATTATATGCGATAACATTATCTATCTATTCGAAAATAACATAACCTCATTATTATTAGGACAATACTTATTTACTCATCGATGAATAGGTCATCTGTACTAACAGTTCAATCATAAATACATTTATAGTCTGTCCTTATAAAAACATGAAAGTGATGAGCAAGAAAATAAGAGGAAATTACTGAATTTACTTCAATACTCCCTTGTGTTTAATATTTTCTCGTGCGACATTGGGATTAGGCCGCATCATTGATGTCATTATTATAATTAATACATGCCCATCCCGATACACAAACAGACGTGTATATATACTATTACACACACTCACACACACACATATATCTTGAATGCAAAAGCACTTCAACCACTTTCTAATTGTAATAGACTTTTTGTGCAGGATTAATTGTAAAAGAAAGCTTTTATTAAATTACGTAGCAGACAGTTAACTAACATTATAATATTAAGCAGACAAGCCATTAATTGCTAAGGTGTCTTCATTAACACTATATTCAAAATTGATCATTGTATTGGGTTTGGGTGTTTGACAACCGAACTAGCGGCTTTGCAAAGCGTAGCCAACTTTGGATCCACAAAATAAAAATAAAAATAAAAATAAAACTTCGGTAAATGAGTTGTGTATATCAATAGAACCCCTCTATACATTTAGGTATGGTTGTACGAGGAGTGAGGACCACCCAAGTTGGCATCGCTATTCCTCTACCCACACGCTTAATTTGTACTCATAAATGGCATATATATATATATATATATATATATATATATATATATATATATATATATATCATCTATACATTCGGTGTTATTAACGTTTAGATTTTAATAGATTTCACGGTCTCATACTAGTATGAAGGAATTTGAATATGATATCTCGAAAGTTGCGCTTCAACACTAAGATTAAATTTCACTCATAATTCTTCATTTTAAGATACCAAAAATATTCTCTTTAATACAGGAATTATTATACTGGTAAGAAGCTCAAAAGAGGAACTCAGAAAAGAATTCCAAATTGTTTTTGGAAAAAAGATATGGAAGCTCCGAATTGGAATTGAATAATTATATTCAGTTTAATATTTGAATTAAAATTTCTCCGAAGGTTGGTGGCACAAAGCCCACAAACGATTGGGCTTAAAAACTTCCACGGACCTATAAAGAGTGGACCAAGAAGGCCGTTGGACCACAGATGAGATAATTCCACCGGCCCAATGTATTGGGCAGTAATCCTCTCCATGGCACCTCTCATTGGAAGGTGTCCATGGCAGATCCAATGGTTGGGATGAAGCCACTTCAGCCTACTTTGCCCTGTCATTACCTTGTCAGCGATGACGAAGCGCCAAGTCAGCAGTAACTTTTAAACCTTACTTTTTTTTTTACCATGCACGAATACTGCCGACAATATACATACTTACCATATACAAATACAATATACCAAAACCATACTCACCACCGGTCCTCCTCCACCACCACCGCAACCCTCCTCCACCACCACCGCAACCGCCGGTAACACCACTGTTCATATATTATGTATCTCTTCTGAATCCTCATCCAATTCTCAAGCTTACCAGTGTACCTACCTTCCCTCCATTTCTCTACATCGATCACCATCACTCCGGTGTTGAAATAGCACGTATTCCGATCTCTGAAAGCGGTTTTGCAAGTTCTTGTCTTTTGCTTTGTTTCTGTGAACTTTCTTTTAGCTTCAGATCATTTTCTCTTTCAGAAAGAGTGTTCTTTCTATTTTTTCCTTCTCTCTCTTTCAAAACCTTTTCGATTACTTCTTTCTTATTTTCTGACAATTCTTCATATTGGAAGATGCTCAAAATCTCTTTCTTTATATATATATATATTTATATTTATATGTATAATTACTCAAACCAAGCTTCAATAATGGCGGATTTGAGCTTTTTCTTAGCTATTTTTCAGCCATCTCCCGCTTTGTTTTCTCTTTCTAGACTGTTTCGTTTCTCTCTTTAAATCTCCTCTCTACTGTTCTCAATCTCTTTCTAAACTCTTTCGTCTCTCTCTAAAGATTGTTCCAATTTCTTGAAACGAAAATGGCGTTGATGATGAGCAAATGGGTCTTTCTGGCACTTATCGAGAAACCCCAAAGCTGAATCAGAGGGTGTCAATCCTTCACCAACACCTTCTTCAATTGATGCGAGAGAAGGTAATAAGAGAACTTTTTGAGACCGAGTTGACTCGGCAGAGCCACAGCCGAACCCGAAAATTCCGACGGGTTGACGGGAAGAGGAGGGAGAACAGCTGACGACGAAGTCAAGCACCTTCTTCCCCAGCAAATCTAGGGTTTCGACGAGCATGATACGGCCGGTGGTGCCCGAACCGTAGAGAATCAAGTAGGGCGGGCAAATCTCTGTACAATTTCTGGAACCGGGTTCGCAATCTTGGCATCGAGATCGAGCATCTGGGTTGTGAATTCAGCCGCATGTGGGGCTTTCACAGCCGAGAAGGGTGAGGGTTTGGTATGAATCCAGCAATGGAGTAGCCTCCATAGCTGTGAGGGGTGGTAGAGAGCAACAATTGGGGGGTTTTTGAGGTGGTGGGCTCTGGTTAAGGAAGTAGAGGATAGATGGGTCAGGGTTTGGTATGGATCTAGAGATGGAGATGGGTTTGTGTGTAGATGGGAGAGAGGGATGGTAATGGTGGTTTTCTTATTTAAGATTGTATGTATACAGATGTCTTGTACAGATACATAGGAGACTATTAGATAAATACTTTATGCACATACCTGCCATGTCACCCTTGCCACATAGGAGACTATTAGATACGTTCGAGATAAATACTTTATGCACATCCCTGCCATGTCACCCTTGCCACATCAGCAATGGACACCCTCCAATGAAAGGGTGTCCGGAGACAATTTTTCCCCCATTGTATTAGGGTAAAGTTTGCGCAGATTATTTCTTCTAACAAACAGATGGCCCAATAACGCATTGTTATTACAACGGTAGCCACCCATGCAAACCGGTTGAATGGGACACCATATACAGTTGAATGGTTAAACAATATATATATATATATATATATATATATATATATATATATTTCCTGTTCAACTATTTAAACTTGTTTGAAATTTTCTTACCAGCAAATGGGTCTTTTTTGTTATATTTACAAAAAAATTATTGCTAGATAATTATTCTGGGTTTGTATATAAAAAGCTTTCTTTACATATATCTGTGCCTGTCAATAATTATTTTGAATACAGTTCTCTGGTGAGCTTCAAGCGTGTCTACATAATAACATAGCAAAAGATGAGCAACATAAAATAGAATAAATACAACTACAAGAGCAATATTGTGACAAAAGGAAAATAAAATTACAAATATATTATGAAGTAACATCCATGGTGTAAGCAAAACTGTAGAACAGGTATAGAGAAGTCAAACTCTTCAGTTCTTTTTTTTTTTTTTCTTGAAGTAAAATTAAAGAAAGTCGTTTAATGAGAAGCCAAAATGGAATATTTTATTTTTGCATTTAACAAATGAACAAAAGGATACATGTTCATATTCAATGGGGAATTGACAAACTTACCGCACTGGCTGCTGGTTGTAGTGGCTCTTCTCTTTCTTCTTTGCTGCAGCTAGCTTCGCACTCCTTGCAGCAGCCTCGCTAGCAGCAGCTCTGGCGGCACCATCCATCTCTTTGCTTGATTTTTTCTTCTTCATAGATGCTACTTTCTTTATCCGCTCTTTCACATCAACACCGGATGTATCGTCTGCTTTCTCAGTCCCATCACCGATTTCCTCTTTACCATTCCCAGCATCAGTGCCATCAGGCAGCTCCTGTGGTTGTTCTTTAGCCTCCTTCGAAGATTTATCCTTCTTTTTCTTCTTTTTTGAACTTTTGCTCCCCCCAGGGACAATTTCCTTGTCCAATTCTCCATTCAAATTCTGTTCCTTCTTCTCTTGAGAAACACCTGGATGTGCAACCAAAAATGACAAATGACAGAGATCCAATAAGGAAAGGTTAGCAACATTAAAAAACCTAATTGCTTCTGGTAACTTGGTGCAAATCACAAACCAAATGCATGAAAGTAAACCGAAGGCCCAATTATCTACAAATCAATGCCTAAGCTTTCTACTGCAGAACATAAACCAAAAAAGAAATAGTGATAAATAGGAAAGTAAACTAGGATGATAAATAGGAAAACAAACTAGGATGTTATGACTAGAAAAGGGGGAGAGCTGATTGCCTCCCCCTCTTTTTTCCTTTATGGGTTCATTTTATTCTACCTCATATCTGGAGATTGTGTTCTATCTTTTTATATATACGAGTGAGTGAGTGACTGACTTAAAACTTGGTCATTATTAAAGAGAAATATTCAAATAATGGGAGCTAAGAAAATAACCATGCATTTACACCGTGAGACAAAGCATGCTGAACATCCAAAGTTGGAGGGAGGGAAAAAAAAGATAGAAGAACTAAATCATTGACAGGCACATATATTATAATAAAGAGTGACTAAATTACCACAGGATTCATTTTGTTCACCAGCATCCAATTTGTCATATCCCAATTCAGCGAGAACTGCATCAAGTTCTGCAAGCTCCTTTTTCTTCAGTTCCTTCTTTGAAAGCTGCCTTTCTGAATCTTTAGTTGCTAAAGGAGCTTCAGCAGGCTTCTTCATCACCAGTTCTCTATCTACTGGTACCTCAGGTTCATGGTCTTGTTCTTCCTCATTATCATCATCAACTTCATCAAGACCTTCTTCATCTTCACTTTCACTTTCCTGGAATCCACAAGTTAGTAACTTTAATCATCTAAGGAAGACTGAATTATATTTATATTTTTTATTAAAACTGGTAAATAATGATTGCAGAATCTAATCAAAGGAGAAGGGGAACTTCAGAAAAATCTTAGCAATTGCACAAACTATCATTATGAGAAGGTAAGAGTCTAGTCCATCTCAATCATAAAAACCATTAAAACATATAAAGAGAACAAATGCCAAAAAAATTAGAAGCAGAAAATCATTCCAAGTGATTTACTACAAGAAGATGAAGAAACTAGGATTTGAACAACAATCAAGACATTCAAGAATATTTATCTTTTAACAGGAAAGAAGAAACCTTATTAAAAAAATATTACACGAAAAATACGAACTGAAATGTAAGGGAATGCTCAACTACAGATTCCAGTTGCAATGAGAAAAAAGAAACCCAAGCCAAGCCTAATAGATTCCAACAACCAACATCAATACCGCAAGGAAGGTGAAATGACCTCAAGAAGGTTCAAGATAGTTGGTTCCCTTGGATAAGGTGCTGGAATTTTTGTCTGCCAATCTAGGGATCCAAGAACTTTATAGATCACACCAACCCCACTCCACGCACCCCAGCCCAAGAGAAAGAGAGAGAGATAAGTAAAGCATACAACCACCTTCCACCATACACTAGGATGACCCATGTCTCCAAAGAAGGAATTTTTAAGGCCTTCCAAAAAGCTAGAATATCCACCTCCACAGTAGAGCCAAATCCAAAAGGTCTAAAGAAGGCAAGCATTGTATTTACTTCAGAAGTCTAATGGATCCCCATGCGAAGCTTTACCCAAAAATCCAAATGAGTATTCAAAAAAAGAAATCTGATTCCTCACTGATGTAAAGGCCCCCAAGCACAATAAGAGGCCTTGTCTTGCAAATGAGAAAATGACGCAGCAATTCAGTCACCCATGCTATTAATCAAAATCCATCTTTAATATTTATTTATTAACAGAGTCCTTAGAGACGTCAAGAAAAACCTGCCCTGCATTCCCCCTTTTGATGCTTGCATATCTGCAAAGATGTTGACTCTCCTCTCCATCCAAATAACCCAAACCACAGGCAAAGGGAACCCAGTGTCAAAGAAACTGAGTTCTCTTGCTTTTGCTTAAGCCTCTAAAGGAGATCATTAATAAAAAAAACCTCTCTCCAAGGGGGCCACCATAACAATCCTCCTTTTAACAAATTAATTTGTATAAAAGATCAACATATAAAAAGAGTCTCTCTTTTGGAAGAGTAACAGAGAATATTACAAAATACAAATAATATCCATACAACAACTAGAAAAGCACAACTTTTTATCTAATCCCTACTCAATCTAGTGGGTGCATCTAGATCTGGGCAACTAAGCTTGCATTTAGTGTTAGATTCTCACGACTATAATCAATTCATTGACAAAACCTAAATATTATGTTACTATTTATGATTGTGATTTATGTTGTCATCATTGCTTAACAATGTTGTTAAAATAAACATTTGGATGCCTCACAAAATTTGGCTATAAAGTCATCACATATTTGGTTAGATTTCATATACCCAAAGTTTTTAACAACACAAACTCGATTTTTTAAATATGTATGTATTTTCATTCCTTCCATCTTTACTTCAAAGGTACTGATTAGATGCCGATTTTCAAAACCATCCTTAACACAAACTCATTATTTTTCTTCCATAAAAATTCACCGAGCGTAGAATATGTATCTTGCTAAAATCTATGATTTTTAATTAGTATAAATTCTTTCAAATTTGGACAAGATATCCCTTGGAGAAATTTATGGGTCAACATATTTCCATCATCAATTCCTTCACCAAATATTAATCTAGTTTCGACTTTCAAATGTTGCTATCTTGCAAAACTTGGAGATTCTGCCAAGGCAGGCACAGAAGGTGCATATCAAGCATTTGGGACAAAGAAAGAAGGGAACTTCCCAGATGCTTGATATGCACCTTCTGTGCCTGCCTTGGCAGAATCTCCAAGTTTTGCATGTTCCCAAGTTCAGCAGGGCTACGACCAAGCCTATTCATTGGGAACTTGCATTTCCAGATCTCAACTTTATCATAATGTTGAATGATTTTTACCTTATCCTATGAATCATTTTTCCTAAAACATTGAATTTACCTAACAGATTTATAATCATGTACCAGATAACATTGGAAACGCATACTACATCTTATAACGGATAACTAAAATATCACCACCTTGCAGAAAGATCAGAGATCTATTAGTATTACTTTCTCGGTTCCCTTTCATCTTTATTTATTTATTTATTTTTTGTGTGTGGGTGGGGTCACACCATGTACTGATGCAGATGCATTTCCTCCAAATGATTTCCCAACAGCTAGATATGTAATCTCCAAACAGTGCATATCAATCCTTCGAGTGGATTTCTCACTCCCATTGAACAGTTACATGTGGTGTAAGATTTAAAGAGATTTTAGGCACATGAATCATACACACCCCACAGGTGACTCAGACAATTCTGAGTATCTCATACAAAGTTCATTCCGAAATGCTGAAATCTCAAAGTGATGCCCACAGCCAGGGGTGGAGCCAGAAATTAAATCCCGGTTAGAAAAAAAAAAAAAATAAATAAACAACAAATACATATTCTTCAAATCAAGAGGCAAAGAAGAAAAAATTATTGCAAAACAATATGTAGTAAAAGAAAGATAAATAGTTGACAAAAATTAGAAAAAGGAAAGAAAAATGAGAGAATTTCGAAAGGGTAAAAAAAAATTAGAGTTTGAATCAAAAAATTTCTTTAAGGTATTTATAGAGTAAAAGAGAGAGAGAAAAAAAAAAAAAACCTTAAAGAGATACTTCTAGAACATAAAAAATTTAGGGGGGGCATTTTATGAATTGTTTCATATATACAAGGAAAAAACATAAATTTAGTATATATATTATAGTAGGTGGGGCAAGGGCAGGGGGGCACGTGCACCCCCGGGCATTAACTGGCTCCGTCCCTGCCCACAGCTACAACAAAAAATGTGTGAAGCATTCAACCTTGGACACTACTGACATTAGGTTATAGCCAATACATTAATAAGTGAAAAAGATTAACTACTGAACTCATATCTAGTATGGATCGTACATGGCCGATAGTTGGAGTTGGCAACTCTCCCAGGTTCCCTCATCTGGGATCCTTGGGAAAGAGGATCAAGTGGGACTTGCGAACAGCTTGATTCATCGTCTCCCTTCAACCATTTGACCCATTAAACATCGAGTTACGGCTAAAGATACGAACCCGCCACGGTTGTCGCTACTTCCAATGGCCATGAACCAATAAGGATAAATTACTTGTTATGTCACAGAAAGAAGCATAATATTATAAGAAAAGAAATCATGCACACTTGACCACGTGACATTTTCTGAAATAGCCACTCTCACGCTCTAGCCACTGTCTACTCCAATAATCTAGGGTGCATTAACATACACAATCTTTATTCTGGTCCAACTAGATTCTAAGACTAAAAACTCCTCCTATCTTTTCTTCTAGATACGGGTGAAAGGAAAAAATGTACAAAATACCATTAAAGCAGCTCAAGCGAGACCTACTATATCCATGCGAATATGTTCCCTATCTCTATGAATTGGAAGGATATTACATTATTGCTCGTGAAAAGCAAATAGTTTTAAAGAGATGCATATGTGTAGGAAGAAAGAAGAATAAAAAATCGGCCAGTAGGATATTTTTAAATAATTTAAAATATCATGTATTTCAGATATAGGGACAATTCTAAAAGATTGGTTGCCAAACACAAATCTAAGACTGATAACATAAAAAAAGACCGAATATTAGGTTTGTACTGGGTCCACCCTCCCCACAGCCTCTCCCTTGGTGGGACTAACACTAGGTGATATCTTTAACTTATTTCAAATTTTAAAAGGAGTTTGCAGCAGGCAGTTCATTTGTGGAATAAGGATGTGACCCTAAAGACCAGGACCGGGTAGGGACGATACAGAGGACTTGAATGCCGTAAATAGGGCAGTTAACAAAGTCTAAGTTCAGTAGGAGACCTTCTTGGGAGGTCGGTCAGATGATGCCATTCACTTGAGAATTCCATTAGAGTTACTACTTTATTATAAGATTTGGTCATTGATTCTTACCAAAAAATTAAAATCAATTATCTTTAAATTACATCGGTGTTCTTCCCATTGTCCCATAATTTCTACCAATCCTAGGAACTCCAACTTCTGAAAGAGAACATTTAATGCATTTGTATTCAAGTTGGAAGTACAGGTATCAAACAGCAAATTCCCAATTCACCTTAATTAATGGATTCAGATTGAATTATTAAAAAGGTACAACACTAGGCAGTTTGGGTTATCAAAGAAGACAGCTACCATGAGACATCCAGAAAAAGGAAAGTCAGATGACTAATTAGGATGATCATTTGTGCAAATCCAATCTCTGTTTATTGCATTTAGAAACACTTTCAAGCTGTTCCTGTGGCATGGCATTTTGAAAGTTAACACTCCATGCTCTCAGCCTCATTCCATCTCCAGGCTATTAAGGTAATGAAAAGGAAGATTTACGTCAAACCAGTAATCTTAACACTAATTAGTTGTCATCTTCAACTGAAATTTTAAATTGACATGACACAAACACAATCTATGGACTGACAAGCTATACGACATCCTTCATGTCCTTTTTTCATTGCAACAGATGTGAAGAAATAAAAACCAATATTTGGCAAGTCCAAGGGGACCACAATCATAACTAACAAAACAGCATTGGAGAAGAATATTGTTAAGGTGAACAGAATATTTAATATCTAAAAGAATGGTAAAGGCCACTAAAATACTGAATAACCATTCACAATACAAGCAAAGTTTAAATGCATACCCTCAAAACACACACATTCATCGTAATGCATTTAATGAACATAGCAAAGCCGCAAAAAACATTAATAAATGAATATAGTAAAATGATTGTCCTCTAGAAGTTCAGTAAATTGCCAAACCAACACACGTTATTGAGAACAAACTTCCTCATTATCATGACTTATGATCTCATTGTAGTATTCAAACTCCAATCTGTTAGGAAACAAATTACTTGCACAAAATTACGGCACACTGCACTAACATTGTTGGATAAGAAGTTTCATAGAAAGAAACCAACAACTTCTTGTTTTTTCTGGATTCCTCATCATAGTCTTCATATTCCAATCAAATATACCATCCCACCCTCAAACAAAGCATGAACGAAACATGCAAGAAATAAACCAGGTAAAGGATCTACATATCCGAATAGCACAGAAGTATAAAAAAGCTACTATAGCATAAATAATAAGTACGGACCATATCAACACACAAGCATAAAAACATCCGAACAGCATATAATAGAGTGTTATTCAATGATAACATCACCAGGCGCTAAAAAATGATTATATAATCAGCAAACAAAAACTGGAATGCTAAACGAACAGGTTACTTAAATACACACCTCTACTGGAGTCAAGCGCTCCTCTTTCAGTGCCGGGTCAGCGGCACCGCTCCAAACGGATTGAGGCGGAGCTGTGGTGGCGTAGTAGTCATCATCATCCTCATCGTCTGCATCGGCCCACGATTTCACCGTCAGCGGTGCCGGAGCCCAGAAAACCTGCGGCTCCGGCTCCGGCTCCTTCTTCGAAGAGCTTTTGCTCTTGGACGAACCTTGCTCTTTGTCAGACTTCTTCTTCTTCTTAAACGATCCAAGGGCAGCAAACACGTTGGTACTGCTTATCACCAACGACTCGTCCTTTCTACTTCCACCTCCCACCATTTTCAACTCAATCTCACAGCCACCGTTGCTTAAAGCAAGCAAAACAGGACAGTTATATAATATATATATATATATATAGACACACTCAAAACTGTAAACGATTATAATTATAGAGAGATTGATGGAGATTACTAGATCAAAGCTCGACTCTATGAAATATCGAGAGGTACATCCAAGTAGAAAAGAGACAGACTATACTGAACGAAAAAGGAAATTTTGCTTCTTAGGGGAAAAAAAAGAAAAGGAAAAAGATTCGACGAGAAGTAGGGGTTTCAGATGGATCGGATTGACAAACAGTGAGAGCTTTTTCGGGAGAAAGAATACCGGATGATTTTCTGGGAAAATGAGAAAGAATAAAACAGATTGATAGGAAAAATCTACTCAGAAAAGAAAAATCTCAGAGAAAGTTCGGGAAAATCTCGGAGAAAATTAAGATTCGTCAAGGAAAGTACGACCAAATTAAGTGCGAAGAAACCGTTAGAAGTCGAATTTTCTCAGGAACATGAGGCGCATATAGTGTTGATGGGAAAATGAAGACAAACCAAATAGGTAGATCGAGAGAGGAAGTTAAAACCAATATAGACTTTGCACAAGGAAAAGAACACTGTAGATGATCGGACGTTTTAGGGTTTGGTTGAGCTGAGAGCCTAAGACGAAGGCGCTTACGTGTCACAGAGAGTCTTCTGGACTTATACACAGTTACACGTATGTATGTGTACGCATATTACACACACGTACACACACTCTTTACTAGTATGAGATAAGGGTAATATGGTGTTATATAACGTGGTTACTGGTTATTGCATTTGGTGTGACGAGGCGAAAAATGTGACCGCACCAAGCAAATCATCACGGAAAGCGTTACTTCTTGAGTGATGCTAGGCGTTCGATTGTTGACTATTTAGCATAGAAAATGGCTTGATGATGGGTTATAGGAGAAAGGAGCTGTTGGGCCTCAGACTCTGGGCTCACAGTTTTTCTCACGTGTGTAATGTGCAGAGGTATAAGGACACAAGAAGACACTGAGCCAAAATGAAAGCCCAGTTTTATGATGTACCATCGTGGCCCAAACCTTTCCTTGTTCCCTGTACAAAATCCTCTCCCGTTGCCGTCCCACGTATGACCCAATCGTTTTTGGTACAATTGTAATATAAAATAAACTATAGGAGTAAAATAATAATTAAATAGTATAAACTTGCTATCCCGCCCCGTAAACAAGTGAGTTTTCAATTATAACTCTTATTTTCATTCCAAAATTATTTAATCATCACTATAAATGCTTTAATCGCGATAACTACACAACGTACAAAGTGTTTTGCCATTCCCGAAAAATCCACATTTATCTATGTATTAAGTGAAATCCAAACAGCAAAATTATAGAGAAGACGACCCACACACATTAATGATATATATATATACACACACACACATACATGTCCAAAATGAATAATGTATAGTTGAAACATGAACAATCATCACTAGAAACAGAGGCAGAACAATTTTATTAGTAAGTTATAGCATACATAGCTAGCTAACTAGCTTAGAAATCAATACTAATTGTTAACACCTAAAATATAATTCGAAGCAATCATGCCACGTGGTCAGGAATCATGAAGTCTGAACTTTGGGTCGACCAATGGTTATTAGGGCGAGAGATTAATTTCTAATCATGGCGATCCGATTTAAGGCTGAGAATGAAGAAGAGTGGAGTTTTTTGGGCCATTAAGACTGATATGAGATTTTGAGCCCATAACCGGCCATGATTGAGAGTCTCAGTCACTATGGCTATGACTCCCAGTCTCAATGGTCATGATCATAAGTCTTAGGCCAAAACCTTCTCAGTCATCTTGGCCATGATTGAGAGTCTCAGTCACTATGGCTATGACTCCCAGTCTCAATGGTCATGATCATGAGTCTTAGGCCAAAACCTTCTCGGTCATCCTGGTCATGAGAGTCTCAGTCATCATGATCATAAGTCTTAGGCCAAAACCTTCTCAGTCATCTTGGTCATAAGAGTGTCAGTCTCATGGTTATAAGTTTTAGACCAAAATCTTCTCAGTCACTATGGCTATGACTCCCAGTCTCAATGGTCATGATCATGAGTCTTAGGCCAAAACCTTCTCAGTCACTATGGTCATGATCATAAGTTTTAGGCCAAAATACTCTCAGTCACAACTTTCTCAATCACAACGGTCATGGTCAGAAGACCCTCAGTCATAATGGTCATAATTATGAATCTTAACCAAGATTTCTAATCACTATGGCCATGATCAAGACTTATGACCAAATATGGTCATGATCAGGGGTCTCGGGTCATAATCACTTGAGAAATCTTTGGGGTAATTCAAATAAAGACCGATTGTGAATCCCAATGTTTTGAGAACCCAACAAGTCAGGTCTAGAAGTTTGAAGAAAGCTTGAAATAGAAAATGACAACTTGACAATGTAAGAAGTTCAGAACTACAGATGGAAGGTTCTCACCAACATCTGATAAGGAAAGTCAGGATTGTCAGTAATCAGATGACTCCAGGCTAATGTACAAATCAAGCCAGACATGACAGGTGCAGAGAGCTGAAAATGGCTTGAAGACCAAAATCATCAAGCATGAAAGAATAGGCACCATTTAGTCAAAAATACTATGTCAGACATACTTGTATCTGCCTATAGAGGGATGTGCAAGTTAGTCAACCCTTCCAGCTGATGGTTAGGAAAAGTCACTTTCAGCTTACAACCAATCAATTTCTAGAGAAACGGTTGAAAGGGACAACACCAGGTGGAAGCCTCTATAAATACCCACTCAAGCATCACAAAGAAGAGGTCCAAGACCATTTCTGAAGTTCAACCTTTAGCATTCCTATCATTTAGCACTTAGCTTTTATTTCATCAAGCTCAGTTTAGCACTTAGCTTTTATTTCAGCAAGTTTAGCTTAACACTATCAGTTTAGTACTTAGTTCATCTTCCAGCATTTAATACTTTAGTTTCCATTTCAATCAAGAGTTTGTAATTCATTCATCATTGTAATCAGTCAAGTTCAGTTAAGTTGCTTCTAATTCATGTTTATCTTAAGTGTTTAAAGTCCTTTCTTAAAGGCAATAGCAACCTTAAGGAGAGGGTCATTCCTACTCTCCAACTTTCGCCTGAATCACCTTACGTCGGTAACCCGACCCGATAGGAATAGTTTGGCAAGAAATATTCGAGTCCATCAGGACTCTGGCACGCCCGCGTTCTAGGTCAGCCGTTCATTGGCTAGCGACCTCAGACCACTTTGTGAGCCAAACAACTTTGGCACGCCCGGTGGGACTTGTGTTTTATTTGTGAATGGTCGTCGAGACTAGGTCACAGACTCAGACTTCAGCTGGACAAGCTAACCCTCAAAGGGAAGATCAGGAAGAAAATCAGCCTGCTCCCATCATGCAAGATTCCGGGTCTGAGCATGAAGAGGGACATCAGGCCAGCCACCAAATGGCGGCCGAAAGTGTCAGCAATATGGTGACACAATTTGAAAGTAGAGTGGAGGCTTCCCAACGCCAAGTCGCTTGGGAAATCAACAAAAATATGGAGCCATTGGTGGCTTCATCTCACATGATTAATACTCAGCTCCAACAGCTGAATGAGGTGATTAATGCCTTAGTGACTCGTATTGATAGGCAGGTTATTGCTCAGCCGCCTAGGTTAGAAAACCAGAATGATAGACCCGTGGACCAGTTTCTTCCTCAACAAGTTGGTCAACCAGAAAGAGGTGCCCAGCCACATCCCATGGTTAATGGCCTTCGACCAGTAGCTCCAATTCCACCACAAGTCTATCCAGTAGAGCAAGGAGTGAATGGTCACCAACAACCAAGATGGAGGAATCATGACCAACCTAATGGTCGACCTCCTCATTTTCAACCTCAAGTCTTGCCACCTCAGGCTGCGAACCCAGGGGGGCAAGAGGGACATAACCCTTGGCCCAATGTCCCTTTTCAGAACCAAGTCCCACCTATGGTCATGACTAGGGAGCAATTGGCTGAGGTCATACAAGAACAGTATGGACCAGCTTTAAAAAGGGCTACTCGACCTACTTTCAGGCACCCATTTCCTGATTGGATAGATCGGATGGATCTTCCCCAAAATTTTCGGGTGCCAAACTTTGCAACCTTCTCAGGAGAAGGCAACCAATCGACTCTTGAGCATATTGGCCGTTTCACATTAAAATGTGGGCTGCTTAGCAACAATGATTGGTATAAAATAAAGTTATTCTCTAACACTCTCACTGAGACTACCTTCAAGTGGTATCTAAACTTGCCACAAAATTCCATCCACACTTGGCAACAGATGCAGGATGTGTTCCATGATCAGTTCTATAGGACAGAACCAGAAGTCTCTATGTCTGACCTATCTAGGATCCATCAGTTACCAAATGAGGATGTTGAGACATTTTTGGCTAGGTTTAAGAAGGCACGAAATAGATGCCAACTTACTTTGCCTGAAGAAGAGTTTGTCAACTTGGCCCTTAGCGGTTTAGACTTTGAATTACGAAAGAAGTTCGAGGGTACTCATTTTGGAGATTTATTCCAATTAGCCGATAGGGTTACCAAGTATGAAAAAATCTTACGAGAGGAAAACGAGAGGAAAAACTCCTCTCGGGGGACCTATTATAAGGACCATAATTATGAAATACACATGGTTGATATAGTATATGATGACCTAGAGGTCGATGCTGTTGAAATTATTTCAAAAAAACCATATGTTTGTAAAGCTTTAGCTAAGCCCTTAGAGACTGTTAGCGGTGTTCAACCCTCATCATCTTCAGCCAAAAGGAATATCTTTGAGGCTGGCAAACAATATGCTTTCGATATAAGTAAAGCAGAGCAAATCTTTGACCATCTGTTGTCTGATAAAATTATCAAAGTCACTGGGGTACATAAAATACCTTCAGCTGATGAAATCAAGGGTCGAGAGTATTGCAAATATCATAACTCCTGGAATTACGCAACTAATAATTGTGTTGTTTTTCGTAATGTGATTCAGGCACAGATCGAGAAGGGGGCATGGAAGTTCCCGGAGAAGAAGAAAGAGGTGATGAGCGTTGACAGTGATCCATTCCCAACCTTGGTCAGCAGTAACATGGTCAAAATCTCAATGGCCAGCAGGCCACGGAGAAGAATTGATTTTGAGGATACTTCAGCTAACAGAGAAAGCAAGGCTGAAGGAAAGAAGCCAATGGTTAAGGAAACTCCAAGGTCTAAGGATGACTTAGAAAAGGAGTTGCGGGAGGCTCAACTGGCGCTGATCAAGCAAGGATTATGCCCTAAATGCAAGACAGACATTGGAAGGGACCGAGAGAGGTTCCATAGCGACGCTCGAGGACGTCCTGGAAGTTCACGTCATGAAAACAGACCTAGGTCACCCTCGTCTAGGGTGCCTGTGACAAGTCGATTAACATGGCCTGATAGAAGGTCTAATACCAATGAGCATCACAGGCGAAGGCGAGAAGTGAACTCCAACAGTCGGTCAAGGAATCTTACTCATGCTGTCTGGAAGCCGAGGGAGCATAACTTAAATGTGGCTCGCCAGGCTGAGACATCAGTTAACCACCCAAACCATAGGCAAAGGATGGTCAAGCCACCAGTCACTGACGACGGTCGATGGTCAAGGGTGAGTCATCCAAAGTTCTCTAAGGTCAGGGATATCCCGCCAGTATTCATGACTCGCACTCAAGTAAGACGGTGGCAGCGGATGAAAACTGAGTTAAAGAGAATGGAAGAAAA